GTGGCTGCTGCGGGAGCATAGGCTGCAGTAACTGTGTGCGCAGCGACTGGTGCCTGGTGGACAGTGTAGCTAGCAACTGTAGTTGGATGGGAATAGGCTACACCCGAAGCTGGCTGCTGGCTATATTGGAAAAAGACAGTAAGTAAATAATTAGATTAATCCAACATAGTAAGCTAATGCATTTCAAAATCCCAGATTTGATTAACACTTCTCTGTTCTACAAACAGACCTGGAGCAGCTATCTATCTATGCATACACTGTAATGGCTTTTATTACCTCTCTTTACTCCCATTAAAAAGGCCATATCATTTTCAAGTTTCTGTGGATGCACACATATCATGCAGGTGATGACTCGGGGTGGGGGGTGAGGTGTTTGTGTTGGTTTTTTTTTTTCAAGCAGTTAAACCCAAGTCTTTAATTCAAAATAGTACAGAAGTCTTAAACTGTTATCTTTTCACAACTGACAAGTTTTTAAATGCTTTAGTAGTTCTTCAATAAAACTGACATACCCAACAAATTAAGAAAAATAACTACTTTTCTGTGAGAGCTCACTACTGACCTGCACTTGCATGAAGTTTTTCAATAAACCATATTAAAGTAATGAGATTTTAAAGGCTTCCATGAAAATTAGCTCAGAACTCTTAAATTTAAGGCAGAGACACTTTAAATACACACTTCTGATAGAGGACTTCTCCCACAAAAGTTTAGTTATAAAAGCTGGCCCCACTCGCTCATGCAGAAGTCCACTGCCTTACAACATGAAGCATCAAAAGAACTGACAAATTGAGTGAGAAGACTGCTACCAGAACTCTGGCAATCTTCCAGGCACATGCTGAGACTAATCTGCCTCTCTAAAATTTGCAGGTAGGACATTAATATGTGGCTATTTACTAAAAAGTTGTAAATATTAACAGTGGAAATAAAAAATGATGGCTTCAAAGGTTTAATTATTTGAACAGAAACTAATATTATTGTCCTATACTAATGTGTAACTGTGCATTATGATTAGAAACTTAGAGCAGTTATTTTGATTTTTTAAATAAACAAAGTGAAATGGGCAAAATATCACTATCTAGAATGATGACATGAAGTGCGGATTGAGTGATTATTCCGAATTTTTTAGTACACTTCCTGCACTGTTGTTCAATAACATTTAAGAATCTCTACAGGGATTCACATCTCCATAGCACTACTAAAAGGTAATTCAAAACCAACTCCATGCCTATCAAGGAGGTAGTATCATCTATTTTTCAGAACAAAATAGAAAAATGAAATCTCGCTTGTAGCAAACATATTCAGTGGCACAATGGAATTTCAGTATGATTATGCTCAAAACCAAAAGGAACCACTTACAGTATTTTTTCCTAAAGACTGCAATATTCTCTCTGACATAACTACCAGAAACAAAGCACCTATTAACTTTGGAAAAGATTTTTTTTTCAAAAGATTTTCCCATAACTCCCTTGTGTTTAGTAATTTTTATGTATTTATTTTTAGAAAAACTGATTTTGTCATTTTAATTACAGCAGAAGCCATTAACTTCAATATAGTAAAAGAAACATTATTACAGCAGAAACAGAGAAAATTTTATTACTATTGGACTTCCATGCCTGGACTCTACCTTCTTCCCACTGTAGGCCCCTGGTTACTTAAAAGACCACTTCCATCCCATCCAAATTTAAGTCAGTTGTGAGTTGTACTTAGAATCACGTTTCATTTTATTTTCAATTTCTTAGCATAACAGTAGAAGGAAAAGACCTAAACCACTTTGGTGTAGCTCCCACCACTGCTTGAAACAATTCCTCCTACTTGACGTACACAGGAACACTCAGTTTCATATGAGAAATTGGACTCCACCAGAAAATTCAGGAAGACTATTTTATGATCGTAAAAGTGAATGACAGGCTATAAAATTAGGCTGCATTATCTCCATAACTAACAGAAGTGTAAAATATTCACAAATTCTGAGGTAATTATCATATATCATATATATCTACTAAAAACACATTAAATTGAGAAAACAGACAGCAGACTGTTTAACTCAGACTGCAGTTGAACACAACAGTCCAATACCACCACCAAGGGAAGTCTTGCTCCACCCTATCCCCACTCTTATTCTTCCCTCCTCCCATATACCAAACCTGGCTATGCCATGCTATTCCATCCCTGGTGCTAGCTCTGCTACTTGTCAAGCTATTCAGGGCACTGATTTAACTCATTGATCTAGCAGAAAACAATGAGTTTTTTTTTTGCTGGGCTCATTTTCTAATGCTGAGTGCCAGAACGCACATAAATTATACATAGGGAAACAAGGGAAAAAAATGGGAGAAGAAAGAACAGGGACCTGTCTAGGAAGCATTAACTTGGCTTTTCCAAGTTTCATGAAACCATGCTTAAGATACTACTACAAAATACGATTCAGTGCTCACAACACACTATGAAGTAACAGTACCAGTCAGTTTATAAAGCAAATGCTTTTGTCCTCAGAATATATATGATTAAAGCTACCTGACAGTTTTCAGTATTTAATATTGTGAAGAGATTATGATCACTATCAGCAGAACTATTAACAAGATTCTGGTACAGACAGTTTCCTGTCTTCTGTGCTATTTTTGTATCGAAATTCCTTATCATGGTATAGAATTAACAGCCCCAATCATTTGATTTCTAAGGCTAACACAGTTCTATGACCATGTTTACTTTAGCAAACCTGTTCCCCTTGCTTCTGCAACATCATGCAGAGCTAGTGATCGAGTTTGCAACACTGCAAGAAAAATATTCTAGAACTGACTGCTTCTTCCTTTTTAAAAGTTATGTTACATTACGTTACAGAAATTGCCATGACATCTTTTCTAAACTTATAACATTCCTTTTTCTCCCCATGGTCTTACTGAAAACCTTTTAACATTAAGATGACCAGACATTTTCATGTAATTAATTTACATAAAAAGATTTTTGTGCCAACTTTTTCATTTAACTTACAAGACTTTTTATCCTTGTTTGGCGATAGTGCCTTATCGTATTTGCTGAGATGAACTCACCTCCTCCTAGATTATTTTGCCAGACTCCCTATTCCACTGATCTTTCTTTGTAATTCATCTGTGCACCTATCCTACTATTATCTATTCTTCTTTCTCAACTACAGATGGCAAGAACCATCTGCATCGCTTCAGATGAAGTTTCAGCTCTGCTACCCACTCTGCTCCAGCCAGTGCTCTCTTTCCAAACAGTCTAGCTTCCTCAGAGTAGCTTCTTGTAAAGTTACCTGTGTATTGACAATAGTTTCCTTGCATCAAATCTCATGACATGCCATACTAATATAAATACTAAGTAAGACTCAGAACCAATCCCTAGGGAACTCCACTGCAATTATTCCTATTTGATAATTACTCTTCTAATTCTACTAACCACTTCTACCAGCTCCTTCTCTACAATTCTTTTACTAATCTCTACCTTAAGTAATAATTTTCTGTACTGCACCACATCAAGCATTTCAACTTAGTCCCAATAAATAAGACTTCAAAAGATTTAGGCATGTGATCAAGTTATTAGAGCAACAAGGAAATACAGTATGTCAGCTGAGCTATGGTAACAAACCACATGCATGCTCTTCACCACAACAAAGGTGGTAATTCAGTTTAGCTTAATCCCCCAACACAGTGGGAAAAAGTTGAACCAAATTACTCTTTATGTTCTATGGGCTAAGGACATGCAAACAGGTACTGCAGCACAGCAGACAGAGAAGCTAACTCATTGACCTGGTAACTTAGCCAGTTTTCTTTGTAGATCAATTTTTCTCTTCCCCAAAATAAGGTCTAATACCCTTATTACCATCTTTGAATTCAAGGAATTCCAGCTCTCTTCAATGTAACTTCGTATTACAGTTATTACAGTATTTTAATTTACTATCAAAATAAACATCATTCTTTAAGAAGTTATGGGTGAAGGACTTGGCAGCTTCAAATTGTACTGTGCTGTATTGCTATTATATTACCTCTTCCACCAGAAGTTTTCATTCAAAAAGAATACATTTCATTCATACCACAGCTATTTCTTTAACTGATCATAATAACAGTGCTTCCCCACCAAGCTGACTTTTAATATCTACTTTCTAGGAACAACACACATTCTTTGATGCTCGTCTTCCAGCTCAGATTTCTATTTCACTGTGTTTTCACTATCCCAGCCAGAGCAGGTTTACAGTCTACGTGTTGCACTCAATTGCTCTGCGCCAGGTTGTGTAGATAGATGTTTCAGTCAACTACAGAAGGTCATTTCCAGCACCTTACCTAATGTATTTTGTCTCTCCCTACCTGCTTTAAACTGCTACATGCATATTGCTATTTCCCCATGCTCTTTGCTTTCTCCTCCCAATTAAGCTTGCTTCTATTCAAAAGTTTTACACCTCAGTGTATACCTACCTTGCCCTCGTCTTCCACATCCTACCAAAGTAACCTCAAGATCGAGAGAATTAATTCTTTATTCACAATCACTGTATTACAGTGCACGAGAAAAGTATTTTTTGTCAAACATCTTTCACTCAAATCTTTGAATAACACCTATTCTAATTTCTACTGGCACTAATGATGGGAAATACTAATCTTTCTGATACACCAGTATCAGAACAAGTGCCATATATTATGAAATACCACTATGATATTAAAACTCCTAGATAAGACTGACTGCAGTGAGCTGTGACCATGTATCGTTCTCCATGCTAATCTCCAATTCCATGTCAATCTGATTTTCTGGGGCTGAGGGGCCACACTGGCTCACAATCTTGCAGAATTCATCCCAGAGCAAAGGCCACAGCAAAAACTAGCCTTGTCCACACAGCTGGCTGGTGTATGAAACTCCTTTCACTAAGTGAAAGTACATTTTCCCAAGACAGGTGCATGTTTTGACCTGATAATTTGCAAGACTAACACTGCAGCTACTTTCATGGTATCAACATTTGATATCGCTGTGTACACTCATAACTGTGATTCTGAAACAGTATAACATGTAAAGATCTTCTCATTTGCTAAGTCTCCATTCCAAAACACTGAGACATCAAAGAGTTATGAAGATCTCCCTGCCCAATTCTACACGACACAATCAATTCGGCTACAGTATAGCTTTA